TCATCTGCTCAACAGAAGCAAACGCTACCTAGACACTGCAATGGCAGTCACAGTCAGCAGGGCTGTCCCACTGTCAGAAGGACGCTAGTCTCAGAGGGCCACATCTCTTGGCTGTCATCCAGCACAGTCCTTCACAGAAGGGTTGAGCAAACCACGAAGAAGGAACATCCCTGTCCCTGGGCTGCATCCCGGCCCGAGGCACAGGCTGGCATGGGTTAGCAGCACTGCCTCCTTCTTGCTTTGCATCAAGAGGGCTGGTCAATCTAGCGTATTTCAGCAGCCCTAAACACTTCTTAGATACTTCAAAGATATTTAAAGCAAGCAAACAAACAAAAACAAACAGGCTGGGAAACATAAAAGCAGGTTTCTTTTATCCCTGTCTAATTGATCCAAGGGTTCAAAGATTCCTGTGAAGAAGGCAAGCTCAAAACTGCATTGAGGATGCAAAGCCCCACAGAGCTGATTACTGCTCAGGAAAAAGGGTTTTATGCTCACCCAGGCTCAGCTGCCCACTTCACCACCTGAGAATACAACCTGAAGCACGGCTGCCTCTCACGCGGGGATGAGCAGTAGCCGTCGCGGAGGCCCCTGAACACCAAACAAGCAGACTCACCTTGTGCCTACCCTTATTCAGCAGAAGATATGCAGAGAGCGGGGGAAGCCAAGCTCACGGCCGAGTCCTTTCCTGCCCTCAGAGCTTGTTGAGCATGGTTGGGCAGCAGTGTCTGCGTACTGCAAACAGCACAGAAACCATGCCAGGAACCAGTTTACAATGCTCTGAAAGCATCTACGTGCCAACGCCTTCCGGAACACCTGCATCCCTCCCCACCTACACCCAGCTGCCAGGAGAGGTGTTGCTCAGTGTCTCCTAACACTACCGCTGCCATCACAGATGACGACTGAGGCTGACGTGCTGCTGAGAACAAGTGAAAAGCAGCCCAGAGTCAGTTTTCACTTTGGAGAGGCACTGAGGCTTGGACAGGGCTGCTCTCTGCCTTCTGTCCGGCACCTCCGCCCCTTTGGTGATGGGTAAGCCCCTTCTCTGTGCTGCCCTCCCAGCTGGCAGGCTGCCCCGGCCAGTGCCAGCTTCCAGACAAGGAAGAATCGAAGAGGAGAACACTGCAAAGCAGCGCTGTTTAGTGTGCACCAGCGACCCAAGTTACCCACCCAGGCGCTGCCACCAGGCTCAGTCTAGGAAGGGCTCAGCTCCATGCTCCTGATTCACCGCTACCCGCAGAGTGCTAGGCACAGCCGACTCCTGGCTGAGCAGCTGCCGAAACCTCAACCCAAACAAACTGATCTAGAAAAGGGCAGCCAGCGAGGGTGGCACGGGCAGCCAGCACTCCCACCCCGCATCCAGCAGCGGTGCCGAGGGCAGAGCTGGCTGTTTGCACCGTGGGGCATCTCCCAGCTCCATGTTGTCCACGGTTGCCTTCACCCCTACAAAACAACTCCCTTATAGGCAGAGCAAGTTCCCTTATTTCTCTCCAAAGCCAAAAGCCTACCAGTACTCGATGCTTAACTTGCAGGGTGTGTGGGAGGTGGGGGTGTGTGTGTGTGTATATATATATATATATATACACACACACACACACGAGGGCAAGACCAGTTTTCAGGGCCACATTTTTGGGTGTTTGGAGAAACAGACACAGCCTCTGTTTGCTTCATGTTTTAGCTACTCTCTACTTTTGTTTGTTGCTTTAAGCTCTCTCTGTTTACATTTCTTGACAAGGTCGTTGATTTCACAAGACTTTTGCAGCACTGCCCCACTTCCCTGGCCTCCAGCTTTGTCTTCTGACGTCCAATTGCTCTCAGAATATTAATTAAAATCACAAAGAGCTCAGCAAGAGGAGCCAAAACAGCAGAGGAAAACATCGGACACTCCTTCCCCCGCCAGGTCCCCAGCGGAGGGCAATGCCCAAGACTTAGAAGCAAAAGTAACCTGGGAAGGGCATCAGTCTGACGGTCTGGCTCAGGGTTTCTCAGCCAATGGTACAGATTTTCCCAGAACTCAAGTTTGCTATGAAACTTCATTCTACCTGCTTGATGAAATTGATGTGTTTTATAACATGCCTGCCCTATCAGATGATTTTAGCATCCTTATGAATATGCAGACATTTTATAACCTTAAGCAGGGAAAATAATCTGAAGGGAAGAATATTTGAAAGCTCTCCTCACCACAAGATTTGTTGACATCAAAAGGCACGGCTGGTTCAGAAGTCAACTTGAATCTCAACTCTCTCACCTGCTTCCTATTACAGAAACAGATGTTCCTCTTGCTGTAAATTGCTGCTATTAATAATATAAATAATTATGCTTTTCTAATCATTTAATAGGTGCACAGGAGGGTACCAAAGTTCCTGGCAGCTATTAAATACATCTCCCTTCTTCTCAAGGGCTCAGAGACACATTGGTGGCTTCTCTTATCCTCCACTCAAGTTCAGAGTAAGAGAGCTGAAGCCAGAATAAAAGCTAAGGAGAAATCAAGGGAGCTGGGCTCCTCTCCACAGGCTGCCCTGCAGACCCATCCTCTCTGCAAATCTCTATGTGACAGGAACAGCACCTTTCCCACCTGAGATGCCTGTGCCAGAGCCCACAGGTGGCTAAGCACTGCAACACTCATGCTCCCTTCCTTGCACAAGATGCTGCTGCACAGCCCCAGCTGATTTGTACCTCCCCAGCAAGTTCCCAGGACCCAGCGAGGGGCAGCAACCCCCGCATCCCACTGACTGGGGAAGCCCTACTCTGCAAGGGAACCTGCCCCTGGCCCTGCGGTCCCTCCCTCCCCGCACTGCAAGCCTCAGTCATTTGCTGTTTTTCCTCCAGAGAACACTCTGTCCTTCTGTTGACAACAGCTCCAGCCTTGGGAACCTGAGCAATGACACCACAGATTAACGAGGTCACTGCAACCTCCAGCAAACACTGCCCCGACTTACGGCTGCTCAGCCCCTCTTCCCACTCTCCAGCGATCATGCACACAGACCAGCATGGCTCCGGCTCTGTCCGATGAGACAAAAATCGCTACTGGCTCCAGATGTTAACACAGCACAGGCACATCTGGATCACTGGAAGGCAGCAAGCAGCCCGCAGGCCACATGCTGGCTCAGCCTTGCCCTGCCTCACCTTCAGAGTTAAGCCCAGTGACTGACCAGGCTTGCCATGTGCCTTAAGCAGAATTCCTAACCCTTCAGCGCCGCACGCTCGCTGAGTCTCAATCTGTGAGATGTGGTTGGTGGGGCTGTGCCAGGGAGACAGTGGGGCTCTGTCACCGCCCATGGGGGGGACACTGCCACACACCAGGCTCAGCCCTCCCCCAGAAGGGTTCTGCTCGGACCAAGACCCTCCGTGACCCCCAAAGCACACCATCCTGCCTGCAGTGGGACACCAGACCAGTCCATAGCAGGTTGCATTCAAGCTCAGATTCAACAGGGAGTGAGTTATGAGAGCAGAGACCCTCTTGCTTTATTTTTTCTTTTTATTATTTCCAGCTAAGAAAAGGCTGTGCGCTCCTGGTTATGCAATACAGTCAGAGCTGCAGAGCCCCTTTCCCAGATAAATCTGGCCTGACTCCTTCCCGGTGCAGCTCTTCCACACAATATGCTCATGCATCCAGTCAAACATGTCTCAGCACGCAGTGCTCTCACACCCATGTGGTCCTTGGTGCTGCCCTCCTGCACCCCATTCCCCAGCCCGAGGGACCTGGCACCCCATCAGCTTGTTTCCTCCACACTTCACTCCGTCCCAGGAGCAGAAGCAACATCAAGGTTAATTTCCTGTTCCCCTTTCAGAGCAAAATAATTTGCCAAAAGGAAGCCCCTAACGAGGTGCCAGGAATGAACAGAAGGCCCTAGCTAATATATTTCCCAGCAGTTACAAAGATGGGCCTGACGTGCAAAAGGAGACAGGGGCAGCCCCACAGGGCCTTTGAGGAAACAGCTCAGCTCCAGTGCAGCTCCTGATGGGGCACAGCAGGGCACGCTGGCTCCCTCGCCCACAGCTCAACTTCTCAGGAAAAGATTTAGCGCTGACGTAGCAGGCTACACCTTCAAGATCAATACAGAGCGCAAACGCGCAGCCAGCCTTTCTCCCTCCCAGAACACCGTGCCTCAACCCGAGCATCATCTCCTCTACGCCAGTTCTACCAACAGGAAAGAGAACACACAGCTTGAGAAAACATGTTTGCACTAACAAGGTCATATTTAATCAGCCAGCACCTCCCGGGATGCAGTTTCGTCTGTGTGAATTAATAAGTCTGTCCACAGCGACAGAGCACCCAGCTGGAAGCGCCCCATGCCAGGCACCCACAAATGTCTGCAGTGGGCAGTTCCAGGACAGGCAGACGGTCCCCGAGCTGGGGACATGTCAGGCTGACAGCGTGCTGTGACGAGGACTCAGCTGTGCTCTCCTGCTCCCTGAGGAGCAGAGGCAGAACCACCCAGGGCCCAGTGCAGTGAGTAAAGCCATTTTGTCTGCTGTGACCGACTTCTTGCCACATCTCTGTTTCCAAGTTGGGCATCACTGCAGGTGTTCCACGGGTGAGACAGCACCCAGCGTGCTGATACTCACAACCTGCCTTCAGCCCATGCTGTAGGCTTGGTTCCTTGGGTGCTAATCAGAATGAGAGCAGCCAAAAATCCCTGCCAGTCACCTTTTGAAAGCTTGCTGTATCAGTCAAATCAGTTAAAAGGGCCCTGCAGAGCTTTAAAAGAGACAAAAGCTGATTTGCTACTTGGCAGGTGGAATTTAATTCCCAATGCAGATTAATTCCATTAACTCATTCTGTGCCCTCTTTGGGGCGGATCCTTCCCTGCTCTTGCAGCTTATGGAAAGCACAGAGCAAACCACAGTCTCCTTTCTGGTAAAGGCACCCGATAGCCTCATCTTGCTCTAGCATTCGTATTTCCTCCCATGTTGCCCACTTGCAAACACCTCCCCTCCCCAGGCACCATACCACATCTTTCAGGAGACCGTGCAATGCCAGCAACAGCCCAGAAACTCACCTTGTGCTTCGTAGCCAGAATAGTGCTGAGCTGTACCCCCGTCCTGATCCCCGGGGCCCAAGCCAAGGGCCGACTTGAGCTGGGCCATGTTCACCTGTGCTGTCAGCTCACCGTTCCGGTCCCCGATCTACAGGGTGAAAACCAACAGGGCAGCTGGTTAAAGGGCAACATCCTTGAAGCAAACAGCCCCTAGCAAAGGGCTTGCCAGTCCCATATCAAAGCAAACAAACAGCCAGCCAGAAGAGAGCTTGGAGACACCCTGAGAGACCATACAGCTCAGCTTTCAACATCAAAGCAACTCTCCAAAACTATTCCTCAGTGGTAACCTGGGCAAGGGTCCACGCATGCTGTGCTGTGCACTGGCTGCACCTCAGAATGCATTTGTGCAGAGTTCGGTACAAGGAACTGAGGGGGCACAGCTCTCCCACTGCTACAGAACTGGGACAGAGGTAAACGTGCACGTCTGGTCCGTCCTGTAGCCGCATATAGCTTGGCAGAGAGCCCTGAAGCTCTCAGCCCCTTTCCTCAAGTATTTCCATAGTTACTGAGCACCAGACAGCCACACTACTATCAGCCACGTGGGCAGTGCCACACTCAGGGCTTGGATGCTCTGAAAGCCCTTCTCTCCTGGCTCAGATCCATACAGCTTTGAGTTGTTCCTAGTGATCTACCCACACAAGTCTCCAAAATCTTCTGGAGTCCAAATTGTTCCAAGTTCCCATCTCTCACTGGCCTGAGGCCGAGGAAGATGATGTTACATGTTTAGGAAGAGATCTTTCCAGTGGCTCCTGCTACTTAAAATGCAGAGTTATAAGACATGTTGCTGGGCTCTCCTCAGTTTAACCAAACAAGAAAATTACTGTGCTGCATATCACCAGCGAACACAGAGAGGTCACTCAGAAACAGCCTCTAATCTTCAGAGGAACAGCAGCCTCTGTAACAGACCTTGGCTGTTCCCTTGGAGAAGCCTGACTCCCTATTAAATGCCTTGCAACAGCTCTTTTGTGGTCCTTCGAGATAGACTGCAGTGTGAGCCATCCTAGAACAAAATCATAAATCCTCACATTATTTATGACAAAGCCCCAAGCACTAGTAAAGAGAGGCAGATCAAACGGCTTATCAGGCATAAAACCCCTGCCAATTACAAGAGATTTGCTGTTGACATCATCTCCAGAGAAATTACTATGTCCTGGTTAGGTCTCACAGTCCTTGATGCTCTGTTCAATACTTCCCTGACTGCCACTTATTCCAGATCCTCTCCAAGGCCCTGTTAACATCAGAGGAGCACACTGGCAGGACAACAGTCCTAGGCAGGACCCACCACACACACACACACCCCCCATCGCAGAGCCCTGTTTTCTGCCCTCAGCTCAGGTGTCTCCGTTTCCCAGGAGCCCCCGCCACAGGCAGAGATGGGAAAGGTACACCAGAGCAGTGTCGGAGAGCTGGGACAGCTTCCAAGGTTTTTAGGTACACATCCTTCACTCCAGCTGTTTCACAAAAAAGAATTTCAGTCACCTCTGATCACCCTGCAGCAGCCTCCAATGTGCTTACCCTGAGCAGATTTCATTTGGATTCAAATATCACCGTCAGATTTATGTCGGGATAGAAGGGGGAGAGGGTGATGGGAAGTGAGCTAAACACATCAGGGTGCAAAGGTTTAACTTCACTGGGTTTTCCCTAGGCAAAATGCTGGTGCTTGCCCCAACAGCACAAGTGGCTCACTTGGTTCCCAAGGCTAAAATAAAACATCAGCTTTTTAACAGAATCACTAGCTGCTAGAAGCTAATGCAGGCTCTCCTCACAAACGGGCAGTCTCTGCACTGCTCTGTAATTAATGATGTGGGGGAGTTTATTAGCCACCTAATCCTGATGTGCCCCGTAATCACAGCCATCACCCCAGAATGGTAGCACCACCATGAACCCCCAGCCCACCGGGTTTCCCCTCCAGCCCCAGAAGTCAGCAGGAGCACTACTGCTCCTGTCCTCCCATCGCCCCTCATCTGCGCTGCACATGGCCGAGCTCCATCTGGGGCTGAGTAATCAGCCCTGAGCTGCAACAGTCTTAGCAGACTAAAGCTGGAAAAGCTAATTTGTCCTAAAACGTACAAGGCCAAAGAACAGTATTTCTTCTGCATGTCTGATAAGCATAATTAAATACATAATTAGGCTGGTACGTCAGCCCTACCCCAAGATTTAGCCAACCTAACAGACAGGCAGGAGAACACACAAAGCACTTACATATGGTGATTTCAATTAGTACTTCAACAGGGCAATTTCTTCATCTGGGGAAGACTAAAGAGGCCACGGGCAATTTCCTCATAACACACTGGAAAAAGCAAACAATGGAATTCTTGCTTTCTGTACTTCTGAACCACCTGAAAATGCCATATGTTCTTGCACCAGGAAAGCGGCAGCTAGCTGGGCAAGCACATCTGTGAAAGCCAGTGTAGCTGCACAGATGAAACCCCAAATGCTGCGGCAGCGGTACAGGGCTAGCTGTAGGCTGTGCTCATCCAGTGTCAGCAATCGGTTGTATTAGGACAGTGCTAGAGTTTACCACCTCACAGCTGGGACCCCCCGCCAGCTCCACTGAGAGGAGAAACTTCAGCACACGTACACTCTGCTGCAGTGCAAAGTACAGCAGGTTTAGAGCACCCAGCCAGTGGGCAGAAGCTGGCCTTGTTTTCTCCGTATACTTAACTTGCCAGCAAATGGGGTCAGACCACAGCTAGAATCGCAAGGTCCGTCTCAGTCAGGATCTCTCAGCCTTGGGCTCAGTCAGGATCTCTCAGCCTTGGGCTCAGGAAAGGTGGGGTCTTACTAACAGACTGGACACCAAGAGGTATCCGAGTTCCTTCACGCCAGCTGGGTGCACACCACCTTGGCCAGCAGACGAGACAGCTAGTCCCCAGGACCTTTCTCACTGAGCAATATTGGTTAAGAGCAACGTAAAGCAAATGTATTGGCTGTAATTAAGGGGAAGGCTGGGAGCCTCCCATAAAAAGAATATTTTCCAGCCAAGCTCTGCAGTTCCTAAAGACACCATTGAAACAGCACATAGGCAAGGGCTTTCCAGAGCAGTCATAGCAAGAGAAGAACTACATTAATATAACTTATTGGCATAAAATAAAGTCTCTCAACAGGAAGAACTGATTCCCTCTGATCTGAACCAATTTCTCTTACCTCTTGGGAGATTTCAAGATGTTTCCTTGCAAAGTGCAAAGCTTGTTCATGGCTCCCCAGGGAGACATAGGCATTTCCGAGACTCCAGCAGGCTCTTCCTTCTCCCACCCTGCCAAACAGGAAACTGTCAACCACAGAAATGCTGGGCAAAACCCAGCAGCACAGCAGCCCTTTCAGGGCCTCCTCCTCGAGAGCACCGACAGCCAGTCCCTCCTAGCTATGCTTTCACCTACAGAAAGGTTCTGCAAAGGAAAATGAAATGCACTGTACATCTTAAATTCTTCTTATGCTGAGGGTCAGTAAGATCAGGGGATGAGCAATAGCCTCAGAAATTGGCTTACACCCACAGTGTAACAAGGGCCCAGAATGGCGTGGCTTCATTTGTGAGCACCAGCCTGAGAGCAGAAGCCAGAGCTCCTGTCCAGCTTCCACCTTGCACAGCAAGGCTTCCTCTCCAAAGGTGCACAACACATCAAGAGGGAATGTAACATCCAGCCCTTTTGTTCAACAACAGCCCAGAGCTAGGTTAACAAGAACACGGCAAGGAGGAAATATTGTGGGCATGCAACGTTCTCCTGCTAAATACAAGCCCCATGTCACCCAGGATGCATGCACAAACTGAAACTGCATGCAACAGCCAAGCAAATATTGACCTATTTCCACAAGGCCTCCAGGGTGCTGCTTCTTGTTTTCAGAAGCCAAAGAAAGGAGGCAAATGTGAAACCTGCCTCGGGCAGCCCTCACCCCCAGCCCGTGCCAGACACAGAGGTGTCTCTGGAGCAGGCTTCAGCACCTTTTTGCACAAGCAGGGAGAGCCCTACTGCTCATCAGAGCCTGCTCAGCTCTGCAAACGAGCAGATGTGGGGGGTGACGGGATAAAAAAAGCACATGGGGGCGCAGGGGGAGGTTCAGCGTGACTGCAACTCCCTTTTCAGAGGTTTGGGCGGGTTGATCAGCATTTAAACATTTTTCTTGTCACCCTGTTCAATACCTTCTGCTCATAGGGTGTGTTCCCAGAAATGCAGGAGCCCACAGCCTGCACCCCCACAGCATGATTCACCCTTGGGTGGGATTATACCTTCTCTGAGCAGATAGTGCCCGGATAGTGCCACAGATCTCCCATTTTAATGTCTCTGCTCCATCTAGTGGAGGACAGCCAGCTTCCCAGGAGCCAGCAGCAGTAACACTGAACAAGGCAGCTGCAAAGTCACTTAAGCTGCAAGAAGGCTCCAAGATTACAGAGAGAGTATCCAGGAGAAAGGAACCAACCTCTCTCAAAAAAAAAAAAATTAAAAAATAAAAAAAAAAAAGAGGCCAAGCCTCCTAAAGAAGAACAAATGAGGCTAAGAAGCAAAATATATAATCTCCACATGCTCTATGTTATGTCATTTGTTTCTACATGGAAGCTTCCAGCATCACGTCAGAGGAACAGGACAAAGTGGCGTGTATGTATGCCCTAACCACACAGTTTCTAAGGAAGATACAATTTTTGTGAACTTGAAGGAGTTTGAGAGGGGCCATTCTGGGATAAAGCAGCAGTAGCCTCATGGCAAAGCACTGAATACAATGCATTTTCTTGAAGTACCTCTTATTAGAAATCTCACTCAGCCCACACAGACATAGCTTTAAGGGCACAATCTCCGGGTTTGAATGACATGATAAAGGTGTCAATCATGTTATAATTTTTGACACGACTGGACTAAAGCCTGGATTCTGAGAGATTTCTAAAGACTTTTAAGAATACACGTTGCTGTTCTTTAGCCCCAACAGTAGAAAACAGTAAGGAAAGAGGGAAGGGCCAGTGCTCTGAGCCCCTCTCCTGAGGCAGTCCCTTACCTGTCTCCCAGCTCCTGTGCTATCACCAGATGTTTTAGATGGTACTCGATTGCTCTTTCATAGTCTTGAAGCAGTGTGTATGTGTTTCCAAGACTGTAGCAAGCCTGGGCTTCTACTGCTTGGTCTTTGAGTTGTCTGGAGAGCTGGAGTGTTTTCCTGCATGGAACAGGTGGAAATGAAGAGACCTGGTCACTGCAGGGCACCTCTGCAAGGCGACAGGAAAGCCACTACTTTGGCATGCGCTGCGTTGAAGTTGATGCCTGTAACACGCTGCAGGCTGTCAGGTGGCTGCATTACTCGCCACTGCTGAGTACCACACATGCAATTGGCCTCCAGGTCCCTTGTCACATCCCCCTGAGCCTACGCATTCACTGCAATAGGTCAAGGCTTCCAGGGAACACATGCCCTGAGTCTGCCTTAGCCCCTGGCACTTACTTGTAGTACTCAGCAGAGATGTCAAACCTCCCAAGGAAGATGTGTGCATTGCCCAGGTTGCTGTACGCTCTCCGCTCGGCTGCCTTGTCCCCAAACTCCTTAGCAATAGCAAGGCGCTGCAGCAGACACAGATTAGTGAGTACAGGCTGGCCATTGCCAGGTTTCTGTTACACAGCAACTTTTCTGGGAGGTTAACTTCTTGGTTTGCAAAGCTCCCACCCAGCAAGGAAGCGGCACACATGCCTATCAGGGCTGGATGCAGCAGGAAATCTCTCCCTCTTTTGCAATTCAGGATCAGAAAGGGCCTTTGGGGAAGTGGGAGTAATGCTGCATCCTCTTGCAACTCCTGCTCCAGCCTGGTCAGTACACATCTCTTTAGCTGAAGTGCAAAAGGAGTCATGTACATACTTCAACAGCTGAATAGAGGGGCAAACGGAGAGCTGTAGGTCAGGCTGTGAAGCGATGTGGTTGATCAGCAGACTAACGTGCAGGAACAAGGCTGTCACTTTGTGGGGTGCTGTGGCAGAGAACAAACGTGCATGTGTGTGCACTCCCTCTCACCGTCTGCACTGCAGCTGCTCCCCAGACCTCTGCCCTTACCAGCAGCTCAGTCCTGCCTCTCCTCTCACATCCCCTTGCTCCCCACACTTCCCCACCTCTCATCCTCCACTTTGCAGCACCTCCTCCTGGTCCCAAATACTGCACAGAGTTTTCCTGCCCCTTTTCAAGACCCTTCTCCCAAAGCACTGCTGGCTGCTGTCCTCCAGCATTTAAAAATCAGAAGTGCTATGACAGGGCTGACTTTCTAAGGGGCTGAGCACCTTCTGCTGGAAGGAAACTGGTTATACTGTAAACTAGAAGCTGAACTGCATTTCAATTGGGGCAGGGACTGTGTCACCTCACCATTCTGTAAAGCTTTACAGAAAGTTATTATGTTCTACAAGCAACATTTATTCCTGATCAACAGCTCTTTCAGCAGCTTAATTAAATTCATGGCTTGCATTTATTAAACTCTAGACCAATACAAATTAAGAGCAGAAAAGCCTTGCTAGGCACAGCTGCAATTTGCCCTTAGATACCTCCTTTAGTCTCCAAGCCAACAGCACCCTTCCCTCACACTGCTCATTAGGTGCTGATGGGGATTGGAGTACGATGTTGCTCAGCATGCATTAATACAACAGGGCCAGACCCTGAGGTACACACAGGAGGAAGAAAAACAGCTGAGAGCAAATGCCTCCCTGTACTTCCCAGGCTGTGGTGAGAAGAAAGGCTGCTCAGCCCCTGGCCCCCGGAATAAGGTGCAGCAGTTTCTTACCTCCTTGTGGAAGGCTATAGCTTCACTGAAGTTGCCAAGTAAGTACTGGGTGTTGCCGAGGTTGCCATAAGCACGGCCTTGTGCAGCCCTGTCCCCCAGCTCCTTCACCAGGGACAGGTTCCTCCTGAAAGAAGTTAGAGCAGTATGTCTGGTGAGACACAGCGAAGAGACTCGTACCGTAAAGAAAGGAGAGCTAGCCCTGGAGAAGGCATTTCCCCTCCCCAGCCGCCTGTCCTGTGCAACCCTTGGCAGGTGAAAGTCGGGTGATCTATGCTAGCTGCAGCTGTGGGAGCTTGTGCAGATCCAGTGGTGTAAGTTCCTGCTGCTCTCTTGTCTTCAGGCAATCGCAGCTGTGTACAGGATCAGCTCACACGCTGATGGTGATAGGATCCCATGTTAAATAAGAAATGGCCACCTCACTGTACAGGGGAGAACCAGGAGCATAGGAGAAAGGAGATTACCTACAGCAGGACAGAGATAAACCTAGGGAGAGGAACAAGATCCACAGTCCCATGCCAGGGCTCTGCTCATGGAGCTTCCCAGCATTTCTTTACCTTATTTTTCCCCCCTTTACACATACAGCACACACAGGGAAGCGTAGAGCTCCCAGTTGGTCCAAATTTACCCACTGGCTATGCTACATTCACCATTCTTTGGAAAACGGATGGTGAGGTATATACAGGCACTATCACATCCTCAGATATGAGAAGATGGATATAAGATCTTGTCACACTCTACATTTAAAAAAGTCTACTTAAAAAAACCTGCATTATTGAAGCAAAATTCTGAAGCACAAAGAGAAAAACATTAGCCCAAAAGTCTGGTGACAACCTTCCTGTGTGGGACATCAGAGTGATCTTTGAAACTACTTAGGAAAGGGAAGAATGTTACAAGCAAGATAAACTACAGATCCATGAGGGGGACAATTGGGACTTCAGGTGAAAGCCTCTTCCCTTGGGTGAAGGGGAGCCTCTGCTCGTGGCCCCTGCGATGGAGACACACAGGGATCCTTCTCATCAAGGCCAGCAGAGAGCAGCAGGGGCTACAGGAGCTAATAGTTTAGCTTCCAAATGCAGCTCTGAGAAGGAGCAGACTATTGAACATAATTGCATGATTATACTTCAAACTACCACTCAGTTTTACCAAGGCAATGCCAGGATGAATTTTAGCTCTAATTTTATAAAAGCTTGCAGTCCCTCTCTCACCTTCCTTAAGATTAATTTGCCATCATAACTGGGCACCTCAGGGGAACATTCCTAATTCATTACAACATGCAAAATCTCATTCAGTGGCCCAATTTTCAACAACACTGAGCCCACAGACTCATTCTTTGCAAGAAACGTCTTCCAGAGCGCCCACATCCTCAGTGGCCAGGAAACAAATCCCCTCTATGAGAAATGCTTCCAACAGGACTCAGTATTGTCTTGCACCCCATACAGCTATCATTAGCCTAACGGCTATCAGAGGTCAGCTAACCTGCAGACGCTGAAAGCTGTCAGCAGAACAAGAACACCACAAATACAGATTATGATCTGAGCAGGATGAGCTCAGCAAAGGTGTATCTGCATGCATTTTAGCAGTCACTGATGCCTGACCAGCCCTGTTCCATGCAGGAGAAAGGCTTGGCCAAGCTTGAATACTTACTCATAATATTCTGAAGCTTTCTGTAGCGTCTCCTTGACTTCTTGAGGCAGGTAGCCTGGGTCTTGGGCCATGTTCCAAGATAAGTGCTTTCCCTTTGCATGGTAAACATTTCCTATATTATAGAGTGCTCTGGCTTCACCTACCTAAAGGGAGGAAGAACATGGAGCAGCAAGGCATTACACTTCACATCCCAATATGGACCTTTCCATTGCTGGGCAGAGATGGTCAAAGCCAGGAGGGCCCACATTTTCCTTTCCCATCTTCACTGTCATGGCAGCTGTTACTGTCAGCAGCATGAGACCTGTGATGCAGTCAGAAGGGAGAGCTTTACACTCCACCTCCTTCCAAAGCCCACCTTCACCATATCACATTTACTGACTTGCAAACAGATTATTTTTAAAGCTAGGAAATGTTTCCTGTTGGATGCCATGAACCAATTACCTTGTCTCCCTGCTCCTGAGAAATGTCCAAGTGTCTCTGGCAACAAACGACAGCTTCATCAAACTGCCCAAGTATTTTCAATGTATTCCCAAGGTTGCCACTTGCCTTGGCTTCTCCAATGCGGTCCCCAATAGTTCTACAAGATGACCGGAGGAAAGAAGAGAGGTGTTAAAGAGCTCACAGACTTTTATTCACCAACTGAGAGGCAGAATTCCAGCTGCAGCGAGCCAAGCTGCAGCGAGCACTACATGACACACACACAACACATCCAGCAGTTCCCAGCACACACACCTGACTGGAATGCTTCATACAAGCTCTCTCAATTTTGAAGACAGATTCTTGTTTTTTTGCTGTCTCAGGTGAGCTGCTCTAATGACTTCAGGTGTGCGTACAATGAGTACCTGGGGATAGGAGCACCGGACACTGCCCTGCTCTTGCTCCAAGTGCCCTCCTCACATCCATACCCCTTTCTCCACCTCCTTGCTCTGAAGGTGGCTGGCCCATTCTTGTTGCCTCCCGAGTTCTCCACAGGACAGTCACCCCATGCCTCAGGGCTAGTTTTGGATGCTTATTTCTGGGGCAGATTCCCTCAGGCTGCTAGATTCAGACCCCACAGAACTTGCCTTCGCTCAAGCCCTGACAGATTATGTCTAATTAGGACAAAGCACTGCTGACATGCTTACCTGGCCAGGGTAAGGTCATGTTTATGGTACTCCAGGGCCTTGGAGTACTCCTTTAGGTAGAAATAGGCATTGCCCAGCTGACTGTAGATGGCACTGAGAGTCTTCAAGTCCTCTGTCCCCACCTGCACCGCTGCTTCGAAGAAGGCTGCCCCAGCTTTGAAGTCCCCAGACTTGCACAAGCGCTCTCCTTCCAGGGCCAGTTCCAGGCAGGATGCTTCCATTCTGCCAAAAGCAAGACCGTCATTTCTAGAGGAGTTAGACTGCAGCGCACCCATGCTGCTACGCAACGGTTAAAAACGTTACTTCATCGTGCAGCTCACTGCACCAGAAAAAAAAAAAAACAAAACCAAACCTACAAAAAAAAACCCAGACCCTGGAGGGAGCCACCCTCCAGGCAGCAGCTGCCTCTCTGCATTCAGCCCCAAGCACCAAGGCACCAGCCCCACGTCAGACATTGTTTGGGCGATAATAACTTGGGGACACGCAGCTGGCACACCTCAGCGGTGCGGACACCAGTTTTCAGTGGACGCGGTGGGCACTCAGCCCCTCTAAGAAGCCAACCTCCTAGGCATGAGACACGGGAGCAGGCAGGTTTACAGACCGCGTGGGCGAGTGGCCAAAGGCAGCCCCTGGGTTCCCAGTAGGAATCCGGACAAGAAACTCGGGGCTCCTGGCTCTCAAGACGCACGTTCACATCACAGGAGTAACATGGCATCTGTTTTTCTTCTCAGTGGTGCGCAGCGTAGAAGCCACGGACCCAGGCTATTCATGCCTGCACCACTTTCCCTGGGGTAGGAGAGAGGGTAGCCAAACTGTAACACATTTTTATTAGATACCAGAGAAAACCCTGGACTGTGCAGAATTTCTTGGCTGAGCAGCTTCCAGTGCTCGGTGTCTGCTTTTCATTAACTCCCCTGCTGTCACTTTTTCCACAGGCACTCTGCACATTAGCCTCCAGCCTAGCTTTCCTCCCTTGCATTTCTCGACACCTTTGGCAATGGTGCATGCCGTGCTGTCAGTGAGTGCTCTGCAAGCCAGCGGAGAGGAGCAAGACCAGTGATACTGCTTCAAGAGAAAGGAAGCGTGCTCCTTTGAGTGCTCCAAGCCCTCTCTAAATTACGGCCATCCCTGTTAGACCATGTGTATCCTCCAGTTCTCAGAAGGGACAGAGCATGCATTTGAAAGATTACATTTGGAAGTGTCTTGCTTGCTGCAAAGCCAGCCCCTTCACAAGGCAGATAGACACAGCATAATATATAAATAAATGTCCAAAGGCAGTTTCTGTTCTGTTCTCAGTCAAAGAGCACTTGCAGGAAGTTTGACTGTGGTACCCGGACTACGAGAACTTGCTCATCACCACTGCAACAGCAGCAGCCCAGCTGACGTCTCCTGCAGCAGCTTACTGCTGAGTCCTAGGAAGC